CACTGTGTTAGCATGGCTTCACCTCTTTCACGCAGGGCACAGTGATGACACTCAGCCAACATGGGAAACGCCAATCTTCAAACGCTGCTGCAGCACAGCCTGCTCCTGGCACTCAGAGGACACTCACCCACCTGGGGCAGTTCCACGCCACAGCCCTGCACACTGCTGTGCTGGATGGGGACGTGCAGCCCAGGCCTTAGGAACAAGCAGCTGGGCTGCGGGGTGCACTGACATGGGCTGGCTGGCTGAATAGGGAGGAAAACTTAGATAAAATCAGTGTGTTTACAATGGGAATAATAAGAGAAGAGATATGAGTAGCTGTAATAAAGATGAAAGTGCTTGGCAGCTGTGCCTGTGGTCTCAACTTTAGGCTATTTTAAGATTCTGTTTTGTTATTATCGTGTTTTGAATCGTTTCGCTCCACAAACAAGTTTTGTGTAAAACGACCCTATTTTTAACAGTCTGTTTAGAGATGATAAGATCTCCAGAAAAGCTCACACCTCACTCGCAGATTCATTTTGTAGTTAGAAAACAAACACATTAATGAGGCAGACAGCATGCTGCAACTGAAATGGTGAGAATCCCCCTCCCCATCCAAGAACCAAGTGTTTCCCCATATGTGGCACCCGGCAAGCTGTGTGAGCAGACCAGCCGCGGGGCTGGAAGCTAACAGTCGTGTCTGTCTGCCTACAGATCCCCAGAGTCGGGTTGGATCTGCAAGGCAACGGAAATCCTAAGCAGCAGATGTCTTCCCCAAATCACCAGCTGAGTAACAAGAGCAAAAAGACAACTTCTGCACGGGAACACCAGAAAGCTCTGCTGAATTCTAGTATGCTACAACTTATCATAGACTCACAGAATCCTAGAATGGCCTGGGTTGCAAAGGAGCACAGTGCTCATCCAGCACAACCCCCTGCTGTGTGCAGGTCGCCAACCAGCAGCCCAGGCTGCCCAGAGCCACATCCAGCCTGGCCTTGAATGCCTGCAGGGATGGGGCATCCACAGCCTCCTTGGGCAACCTGTGCCAGTGCCTCACCACCCTCTGGGGGAAAAACTTCCTCCTAACATCCAACCTAAACCTCCCCTGTCTCAGTGTAAAACCATTCCCCTTGTCCTATCACCATCCACCCTCGTAAACAGTTGTAAAGTGTCTGACCTGCACTAAAACCCCAACTGCCCCAGCACTGCATCCCACTCTTGCCATTTGTTCCCAAGCATACAGGAAATGCGATGAAGCCACTGCTTAGTACAGGACAAAAAGGCGATGAAGCATAATCTGACTCAGATATCATCAGAGTTTTTGAGACTTCTGATTGTTTTCAAGGAGCTTTGGGTCATTCTTTAAATAAGGATGGAGAAAGAAAAATCCTGTTTTGAAAATTAGTTGCTGTTTTGCTTACTGAAGGTGAGCACTTCAAAATACAGCGGAGAAGGGCTGGATGAAGATGGAGAAGAATTTGAAGAATTTGAATACTGCTTTAATTTTTATCTAGAAAGTGTGGAGGTGCAATAGACCACAGCATGGGGGGAAGGGACACTGATTTGATGCATTCAGGCCAAGCACGAGGCGCTGCTGCTGCACAACCACCACTCTTCGAGTCATGCGACTGCAAGAACAAGATCATGAGAAAACGGTGACAGTTTCTAAGTGAACACACACACATCAATACCTGATCCTCTCCGCTTGTTTTGAATGCATTTGGCTCTGTCTCATCTAAAAATGACTGTTCTTTCCACATACAGTACGAAGCGCAGGAAGCCACACAAGATCTTATCTGCAAGGCTATGCGCACTTGGGTGGTGTCTATGCTGACAATTTAGGCAATTTTCCCACGGTGGGGTTAGCATCAGAGGAATAACCTCTTGCTAGTAACATTGCTTGGAGTGATGATGAAGGACAGACACAAACAGTTTGTGATGACTGCTGCATTACTTGGTCCTGTTGTAAGCAAGTTGAGACAACACAAAGGTAAATATGCCTGTGCTTCACTTACTGAAGTGTTTCTGAACAAATAGTGAAGGAATTTCTGACAAGCCATCGAACAAACCAAAGAACAGACTGAGATTTGCAGAGGAGGACTCAGCGCCAGCTCTACGAAGAATCACGGTGATCAAAGCAGAGATACATACAATGGTAGAAATAACTGAGTAAAAGGCACACCACTTATTAATCATTGGGAACATCTGTTTTGTGTTTTCACAATCGCTCATTTCAAACTTGTGGCTAATCAGCTCTGCACAAACTCTCAGAAAGCATTGCTGCACAGTGCATGACATCAAGTTATATGTTTAATTACTTCCTGCTAAAAGAGTATACGATATACACAGCTGTCCGTACGAAGATCTTCAGAAACACGAAAAACATGAGATTTACCAGGTCCACTCTCAAGAGAGCATGGCCACGTTTTATAAAGGGTGAGACAGTCAAAAGCAAGTAGTGATGGGTTAGTCATAGACAAGGAATTTGAGGTAGAGAGGCAGAAGTCGAGGTTGGAATACAGGTGTATACAGGTGAAGGGA